AATTAAGCAAAGGCCAGGTCATAAACTAGGGTTAAGATTATACACAGGTCTCCGTGTCATGCTGACACTCAGCTGCAATCCTCACGCAGTGCGCCACAGGAGGCACTGTGGGCCAGCAGGGAGGACATCGGAGCTCTTGCAGTAGCCACGCTGGTTTTCTAGCCTTTGTACTGTTTTTCTAACTAGTTATTTTTCTAGGGTCTTAGACAAACTGCACACAGTTCTTTCAGCATTCCAGGACTCACCAAGATATGCCACTCCCAGAAAGATTACTTGCTAAAACCTCAATCACAGAATCACAAGCAATGGCATCTCAAAAGTGAGACATGGGTAGAGGTCCACCTTTTGGAAAGTGCGGCCATGAAGCCTAATGCCAAGGCCTCAAAATGCAAGGTTACTTCTCCATAGATAGGGGGAAATAATCTATTTAACCGTATACCAATAAAAAGCAATGTTCAAATTAATACCCACGTTTTCACCACTTAGCAAAGCATTAAAATAAAATAGGGAAACACAGCATCTATCTACACACTTGCTAACTCACACTACCTTAAAGCTGACAAGTGTTGTCTTGTGGTTCAAGTACAAAGCTCTCTTAAGAGAACCTCCACCTCAGCAAGCCCCACCAAGGACACCACACATGCTGCCTGCTCGCGGACTTGCCACACCTCTCTTGGGGGGAAGGAAGGCCCTTGGCAACCACAAAAGGAGAGGTAGTCTTGAACTGCATGAACCAGAATGACTGCCACACTTACAAGTAGACCATCCCTCCTGTCAGGCCCATGCTTGGTGAGGGTAGAAAAGGGAGTGAGATTCCAGGAACAGATACCACACACAAGCTACCTGCGGTGAAGCTAAGTGTGGGCCAAGTCAATCTCCCTTTAATACAAGCCCCTGGCTTCTAACTATGCTGCTCTGTTCGAGCTTGCTTCTATGGACAGTTGTTCTAGGATTATTGGATTTTCAGGTAATAATAATAAATGTTGCTGTAATATTTCCTTATTGTTCATGTTAACAAAGAAACCATCAAAAGCTACCAGAATGAAAATTCTATACCACACAAAGTGGTGGTTGTGATGATAGCAAGTACTCTATATACAAGTGTTGTGCCAGGGACTTTAAGGCTATAAATATTCATTTAGATTCTCACAATTACCTTATGAGGAGATACTATTATTCTCATTTCACAGGTGATACTGAGGTCACCTGCCTTGTAAGTGGCAGAGTAAGTCAGGCTTTGAATCTAGGAAATCTGGCTCAAAAGCCTGTACTTTCAACTGTGCCTGAAAAGTGAAAGAGAGTGATTCTTCGCTCAGTAAAAGCTGGCACTGAGCACTACTGGCACAAAAATGGCAGTGAATGCTCCCACTCCCCACACCACAGCTAAGTTCTATATCAGAAGTAGTCATTTATAAAAAAATTCTGTTTTTTAAAAGTCCTTGCTAAAACCTGATAAGCACTATTAGATGAAAAGAGGCAAAATGATCACCCTCTGTGTCACATTTTGGTTATGGAATATTTGGGGTTTTTTTGCTAAATACCAACACTAGTATAGAAAAACTGTAAGAAGTTTTAAATTATTTCTGGCTAAGACCAATTTATAACAATAAAAGGTTAACTATGATACGATACAAAGAACATTCTGTATTTCAATAATGGCTATGTTTTCAACGGTTTAATGTTGAAAAATGTTGCATTTTCCTTAAAAAAAAAATTAGGAATTTCAAGAAAAAATATTTAACTCATGTTTAAACCAAGCTTTAAGACCAATTATTTCAACTGGCCTGTTTTCACCATCAAAATGTTTCAATAATTGGTTTACAAACAAACGGTGACCTGGGCTTAACTAGGCAATGGACATACAGCCGCCTAATAAGTTACTCAGCTGAGAAATGAGAAGCCCTGATAAGGCGAGTCCAGTGTCTCCTTTTCCTTCACCTTCCCCAACTCCCATTTTGTGCCAGAATAACATTACTTTGTAAGAAAAAGCTCTAGTGTAACAAGTTTTTTTCAGATTAATTAGACCATTAAAATGTTTCAATTCATCCCAATGGACTTAAAGGTAGATCTAAAAATGAATTCCAAAAGATTAATTCTGTATTTTCTACCAAAGTGTGGTACAAATGTTGGAATTTTAAGTTACCTACCTGTCAAGAAATGTTATTTAGTTTCAGAGGCATAAAATTTTTCAAAATAAAAACCAATATTTTAATAGGTAATAGTTAGATTAATGCATCTAAAATTCTTACCAAAGGCAGCATAGCTCTGCAAAGGGGGTATATTAGCTCTGTGGGCAACATAGCTTCCTATGAGGACTGCAGCTGACTGACTGAGGTTGGGGGTGGGGAATGTAGGATCAGTTTCAACCCCTGTGCCTGACCAAGAAAAACACTCCTGAGACAACTTCAGACACCTCCAGAGATGCCACCCCAAATTTAAAACTCCCTATCGTGGTGATGGTTGAACATGAACTTAATATGAATGAGCTTAATACCACAGAACTCCACACCTAAAAATGGCTAAAATTGTAAATTTTGTTAGTTAACAAAAAAAAAAATCCCAAAACAAATCACAATGCTCTGGAAAATGACTTCCACCTTAAGTCACAAGTATATAGAGGGGGGAAACCCTGAGTTTCTAAATGTCTCTTACTTGGAGAAAGATTAAATAAAAGCTGTTCCATTTCTAATGTTAGAATCAAATGTCCACCGTAAACACCAAAACAGCCTAGATTACAAAACTATTATAAATCCTGTCATTATGACTTTAAGCATTTATTCATAATAGAACTGAACCCTTAAGTAAAAGAGTACAATTGCTAAGGATTTAATTCTCTTCACTGTGTTGAAGGAAGGAGTAAAGTATACACAGGCTATAATACAGAATCTAAAGAACCTCCTAAGTCAGAACCAATAAAATTACTGTCGTTTAACTGGCATTTTTTTTCATGGTAGTAGGAATGGCACCAGTCTCTTGTTCTCTCAATTCCCTGTATCAGGCATTTCAACTGCAGATTGTTTCAACTAACACATTAGTGTAATCCTAAAGCAAACACTAAATTTGTCCCACCTTAGAAACAGGATGTTCATTCTTTGGCAAATTCCTAATCAGACACCATAACTGAACCCAAAGCAAAACATATTGAACCAGAACATTACCAACCTTTCCAGATATTTGCTAGCCTCGGTTCTGCTGAGTACTAACAAAAATGAACCACGTAAAGCAAACCAAAGAAATCACAATCTAAACGGGAAAAACCTAACTTTAGATCCCAATTATAAATCTCTAAAGGTCTCCCAAACTCCCTATTCCATTATTCTACAAAGGAATTTACTTTGAGCTTATGTTCAACACAACCAAAATTGAAGCACAACCTGCTCAAAGGGGACAACTGTTTTTGTACATTAGAAACTAGGCCCATTAATGAAAGAAAACGTTCATGTAGCCGGTTTTAGCCAAGTTCATATTCTTGGCTACCATCTGTCTCCCTATCCGTATTGCTGTTAAGCTCCTTAGTAGTGATCTAAAATTAACACTAACAGATCTTTCCCATCACACCCACAAAGGGCCACCATCAGGTTATGCAGAACAGGTAGCAGACCTGTTCCCCACTCAGCCTGCTAGTCTGTTACATGTCCATAAACGAATTGATCAGATAGTCCTTCTGAAGTGAAGTCAGCTTTCTGGTCTATGAATTCTAGAACGCTAACAGAAATCATACTTTGAACCTTGAAATTTCTCATAATTCCTATAGACATCTTTTTAGTTTTTACAATTCTTACTAAGGATTTTTGCAGTCCTTACTTTACTTGGCTTCTCACTTGTTAATGTGCTGTAGCCACTTTCGTTAGGTGACTGGAGATATGGTCTAAGTCTAGTTTTCTCTCTGCAGGGAGAAAAACAGCCACTTTATTATCTCCAATCAAAGAGCAACTCTATGATTATCTTACTGAAAACAGAAATACAACTACAGTTATCCAAGACTTCTATTGAGCTGTTTAACAAGCATTTGAAGAAAATATTGTTTAATATGCAGCTATCGATTTAGAATATACATTTTAAGTTACAGAAGTCCTTTAAACTTTGCTTCCTGTTAAATCAGGTGAAATATCAAATACAATTTAAGAATGAAGGGAAAGTGGCTTGAAACTACGGTCACAGCTTTTGAAGTTATGAACAATCATTTTTCTTTCCCAACACTTCTGAAACCAAATATGGTTTATGCTACAAGAGCACCACTTGATATTAGCAACTGCCAACTACAACCTCCTATGTTAAGGTAAAACTCACCTGGACCAAACATGATGCTGTGGAATTACTTATTTTAGGTGACTTTGTGCTCTGCCTTGTTTAATCTTCCTGAACTTTCAAAGATATCTAAATGCACATTCATTAACTGAAATAAATACTTGGAAACTTTAGGAAACTTCCTTAAAACCTCAAGCACACTGCACTTCAACCTGTAATCAAAGAACTTTTAAAAGTGGTTTCTGTTTGCAGGAAAGAATTATGTTCTAGTCAAGAGAAACTTTTTTTTTTCAAATGTGTGTTTATTATAATCAAAAAGCATTGAGTTCCCCAGGAGAAATACTACTTGCTTCTGCAGAAATCGGTACATAAATTATGGAAGTTCATGACATTAAGGAAGCTGGCAGACAACTATTGAATTTCAATCTCCATTAGTCTTTTAATTCCATAGTAACTGAAACATTTCAAGTCAGACTACTCAGAAATCAAGTTGCTCTAGAATTTTCTTTCCAGAAGTGTCGAACTGACTTTACATATCTGACAGGTTACAAAAAGTATGAAAGCAACTTTTAAAATATTGGGATAAACTTGCCTCCATAGGCAATCAGATACATTTTTCACCAACAATACAAAGTTAAAGTAGCTTTGTATTAAAAAATACTTATTTAACTTTAGAAAATAAGTAATCATCTGATGGGCAGATGAACCAAGTAGAAAAACAGTGAGCTGTGTTTCCAGCCCCAAAAGCAATGATATTTAAGGCAGAGAACAGATGACACTGGTTAGTTACCCAAATGTTAATGAAGCACGTGATAAAGGCTAAAAATGAAAAAATTTGAGACCCACACGTTTATGAGAAACTGGCGGGAGGAGGAAATCAAATCTATAAGCATGTCAGACCCCTAAACTACAAAACTATATTTTAACAGATTATCTCTTGTTATTTCAATTTTATAATTTTGCCTATGCTCACAGATTATATTCCCTAGTAGAGCAAATAGGAAAATGAAGGTGTGATGTTTCACCTCCTCCACACATTACAAGGAATTCTCTACCATCTTGAAATTTTTCAAAGCTTTTTGAGAAACACACACAAATAATTTGGATTTAGTTGATTTTATTTACAGCTTTTTTTGTTTTTTACATTTCAGAGCATTACACAATTACATTTTCTCATTTTCTGACCTGCAAACAGATACCTTAAACGGAAATTTTTTTTTTAATTATCAAAGTAGGTACATCCAAAATGCAACAATTACACATACGACAATCACAAAGTGTAATTTACTAGAACGTATCCTAAGAATTTAGGAACAGTCAGTCAGGAGAAATCTGACCAAGTTTAGCTATCAACTATTTACATACCCCCCAAAAAAACTATCTGAACTCCCAAACCAGAAGTTTGAAAGTTTCCTTAAGTCCCCACTGGATGACAGAGTAATGATGGGAACCTTGCCGCCTTGACAGTCTGACTCCCCAACTTTGACCTATTTCCCCAGCCTACAGCTGAGGAGCAAGCATTTCAGTTTGTCAAACACCTAATAATCAACCTCTTTGCCACAGAAAGGCTCAGTGTTCATTAATTAAAACACAAGCAGTCCTTAAATATCCACAATTCCCCCAGCTCACCAGCCCTTACTGCAATCTCAAATATGCAACCTTTGTCACACAGTGACGGGCTATATTATGTATGTAAGGTGTGTACACATATATACACACATACAGGTGTATGTTATGTGTGTATACACATATACATATAAACACATCCACACAGTACTAGGTACAAATGGCAAATAACAGTCCCTGCAAAAGTTCATTTTCAGTTGAGGCTATGGCTCCTATGCCTTCTGATGATTTTAGATTTCAAAACTGAAAAATACTGCTAAAAATCTCACTCCCTTAAGACAAAATTTGATTGCTTGTTCAGTTTAAACTTCAGTTAAAAATGGCTATAAGGTCAGTGTATAAAAAGCAGCCAACTGAATGTAATTCCCTCTCCAGTTTGGCCAAGCTGCTTTGGAGCAGAGACTCCTAACTAGACTAGAAAACCTGCGGCACCTTCCCATGGTTCTCGCCTACCTTACTGTCCACGTTCACGTCTCAAACTGTGTCAACAGAGCCCGCACTTCAGGGGTCAGCTGCTGGGCAGCCTTAGCTGCCTCTGTGATAGCCTTGCGATACAGGCCCTTTCTCTTCTTATTAAAACGTGAATGGAAGTTTTCTAAAAAGGGGGAGAGTTGCGAAAGAGCAAGGAAAGAGGTGGTTGGGGAGCCAAACCATGAAATACGGGCCTCCTGGCGGACTAAAAGGCCATTATCTTTCCGGCTCACAGTTATAGTAAGAATACGGGCTGGCCACCAAGGGAAGCCGTATATCTTGGCCCAAACAATGTCCCCTACACATATGGTCCTGCCATCTGGTGTGACACATTTAGAGACGTTTTTGGAAAAGACTTTCATTTTCAAGGAATTGCTGAGCTTTTGCTCTTCCTTTGAAGAGGAGGAAGTGGAAGAGGTGGAAGGTGCATGCATACTGCCTGGAGGAAAATCAAAACTTTCAGAAGAACTACACTCAGAGCTGGAGGACTTCAAGCCATCTGTGCTATCAATGCTACACACTGAAGCACTGGAAGAGTCGGATTTCTTTTGATTAAGGGTCATGTAAACAGAGATATTGCTTTTGCTGCTCTTTTTGCCCAGTGTCTGTGGTTCATCCTGCTCATCAGGCACAAGCCCTTCATTGGTGTCCTGAACCTCACTGCTGGCCTCTTCCAGGCCTTCTGAGGGACTCTGATTTTCTGACGGGGCCTCACCTGCTGAGCGGGTGGAGGAGCAGCGAGACTGGGGCTTAGGGGCCATCTTGCCACTCCGCATTTTCTCAAGTCCGGTCTTCAGAGAGGAGTCATTTTCTTCATTCCTGTACCTTTGTGGTTTTAAACGAACCCGGGGGGGAAGGGAACCTGAGCTCGGGTTCTGATAGCGACGTGTAAAATGGACTTTTGAATGTGCATTTTTGGATGTAGAGGTTTCACTTTGCTTCTTTTGTGCCTTTTCTTTGGCAATTTTCAACACTTCCCGAGCTTTTGCATGATCCATGTTCTTACTCTGAAGTACTTTCTTAGTACTTAACTGAGCTTTCGATGTATTTGCCTGAGCAGAAATTTTAACTACTCTACCTCTGCTGTGAGCAATATTTGAAACCTTTACCACAGCATTTCTTTTCTGGCTTTCATTTTGGTTTTTCCCATCCACTTTATGGTCAGTTTTCAGTTTTTTGTTCACAGTAGTTACACTTTCATTTCTCCGTTTCTTATCTTCATATTTAGAAGAGTCACTTGCACCACCTTTTCTGATTTCCTTTTTTTCAGCAACAACACTATTTTTACATTTGTCACACAGGACTTGCCTGGGTCGGAGTTTTATAGCATTCATTATTGAAGTAGGTTCTTCCCTATACATCTTTCGTTTGGGTCGCTTAATTTTCCGAGGTGGTGGTTGAGGTATTGATTGGTTATAGGTGTCCCTGATAAACAAAGGGGGAGGATAAGGTGCTCCTTCATGGAAGAGAGGTGGTGGTTTGGAAGTCCACAGGCTTTCAGCCAAGCTGGGCTCAGAAGGCGGGATGGGAGAAGGATCATTGGGAACAGCACCATTCACTTCATGCTTGACCTCTGTGCCTTCTTGGAATGTATGACTTTGGAGCTGCATGGCTTCAGGTTTATCCTTATATTCCCTTTTGGGAAATACTGTCACAGGGATCCCATGGGGCCCAAACCTTTGAAAAAAATAGGGGGAGGGGAGAGAGAACATTATTATCTGTTATTCAATTTCTTAAAGTATCAATATTTACTTGTAGGGCTTTCTTAAAATCTCTTATTTCAAACAAAAAAAAAACCCTATTCACCCCTCCCCTTCCAAAATACCAAAGCCCTTCATTTTTATTGGTACTACATTTTGAGGTATAATCAACTTATCAAGTATTTGTTCTAAGCAATGCCAGGATAGCCGACCTTATTTAAAACAGACCTTTCCAGTTTTGAATTAGAAAGTTCTATTACTTTAATATTAAATGTCATAACAGGTTTGTTGAATGATAGCCATGTCCAGTAAATGTAACTGTAAATGTGTAACATATGTATTTCCTGTAGTTATAGTAGCTTTCAAAAGCTTCACAGAACAAATTCAGCTTTTATTGCCCCACAATATGGAAATAGCTAGTTTCTGAGTCGGTTTCCTTTACCCCAAGGCCTTATCTGACCCCAAAACACAATACTGTAAATTCAGATACTCAAAATTATCTCAGAAGTTATAACTTAATATCACATCACACATTTTCACATTCCAATACAACAAAACATTTATGTATACAAGCATGCATATACATATGTTAACACACTTCTAAATACTTAACCCTTGATACAAGATGATTTTTTTTTTCCTACTGGACTATTTCATTTGACTCATGGCACATAAATGGATTTCGAAACTTCCTAGGATAAAGATCTACCTTGTAAAGAACTGGTACAGAGCCCTCCCTGGTGGCGCAGCAAGTTAAAGCACAGCACTAAGAAGCTTAAGCCACTTCAGCACAAGTTCAATCCCCACCCCGAGGTGACCCACATGGCACAGCAGACCTCTCCTGATCCTCCCACTGCTCCCCTCAGCAATGTACTTATCAGTCAGCCTGTTCTGCTCCCCACCCTGTCTCTGCTGAAGCCGCTCACTGCTCCTGCACCTCTGGCCTGAACCCCAGTTCTGTATGCATAAATAAATCTTTAAAAATAAAATGGGAAGAAATCTTGAGGTTAGGTCCTAAAGTTGCAAGTATACCTAAACTCGGACAAATACAGGAAGCTCCAACATGCCCCAAGATCTGGTTCTAACATCTAAACCTAAATCACTTTCTTCCTAAACTCAATTGTTAGCTAGGCTACCATAAACCAACAAGTGATAGCGATTATTTATAAACCACAGGGAAGAGGAAGCCTAGAGTGGGACAAAATTGGGTTCAAGGTAGTCCGGAGGTACCCTCCTCACTGGTCAGGCTTTGCAAAATGTGGCCTTCTATTCCAGCACAGCACCTGAGCACTTTGTCACTGTTGACTCCATGGCCCTCTGAGCATGGCACTTTTCACCCACTAGGTGCTTAATAGCCATTTTCCATGACGTCAGGAATAAAGCAGTGATTTTTGTGTTTATAACAGCAGTACATAAAACAGTAACTAAATCTAATTTTAACAATAAGTTTTTCTAATTCATTTTGCCCCAATTGTACTTTCACTGATGTTTACATAGGTAAACTAAGAACAAAGCTCTCACTTTTTATTTTTATGTAGATGAATTTGGGTTTTGGCCATGGGTACAGGGTTGAGAGGATTTACCAGAAACTGAGTGGGGCAGAACAGGAGGATCTACTGAAATACACTGCAGAGGGAGCAGTGAGACAGGAGAGGTCTGCTGTGCCAAGGAGATCACTTCCCTGGCCAGGGATAAAACTCAAGCCCTAGTGGTCGTTATGCAGAGACTTAACCCCCAGCCACCAATGAGGCCCACAATCTCTTTATTTTTAGGAAAATTAAACCATAATCTTCCTGGTTTGAGAAGTTTCACTGAATTATCACCAACTTTTGTATCTGCAGATGTTACTACTAACCTCTCTGAAATTCAGTTTTTGTATGTTTACATAAAATGGGGTAACAGTTTTCTAAAGAAATCAGGTGAGGATTAATAGGCCAACAAATGTTATCTTTCTTATCTAATATTACATTTTTTAATTTACTTCAACTAAGCAAGTTAACCTTATTTTAAAATAGTTTAAGGTTAAACTATTTTAACCTTATTTTAACCTTATTTTATAATTTACTAGAGTTTGGAATCCGTTCAAAATCACTAATTTAGTTCCAGCCTAGCAGTGACGCAGTCAATTTTAACACCTTATAGCGAAAGTTTTAAGTTGTGGAATCTGATTTACTCTTGAAATTTACCAAGAGCATCAATTTCAGATCAGTTGTTTTTTCTTCTTCCTTTACTTTTCTCTCTTAAGTATGTAAATACAAGCAACCAAACCGGTAACTCCATGATGATCGATAAATTCAGAAAATTAACGTTTTTTCCTAGAAAGGTATACTTTTAATAATAAAACTTCCTCAGAGGATCAGAAAGATGGATCACTTTAAGAGACCAAGTGTTCTCCTAGTCCATCCACAATCATGTTGTCACCCTGACAGTTTCCTAGATCCAGATGAAATGGTACTGTTTTCAAACTAAGAATGGAAACACAGTTGAGAAGCCAATTCAGAAGTTCACAAGATTACAAGCTAAAAAACAGGATAAGTATGTAACCACGATGTATCTATTTCATCTGTCTATAAAGGATCCAAAGCTAAAATATATGTAACTATATTCAAAGGTTTGAAAGCCAGGAACTAACTTACTACATCGTGACCTTAATTAGAATATAAAGTAGCAGGCCCTCCCTGGTGGCCCAATAAGTTAAAGCACAGCACTATGAGGTGAGCTGCACCTCCTAACTTCATCCTGTATCTGTTAACATTCACTATTTGATTCAGAAACCTCAGAAACAAGTTAGTTTCCCACCTGGGGAGATAAAGTACATGGTGTGGCAGACCTATCCTGACCTGCCCACCGCTACCCTCAGCACTGTATTTCAGCTGATCTGCCTGTTCTGCTTTCTGCTCCCCACTCTCTCTGTCACCTCCCACATCTCTGGCCCCAATTCTTGTGTGCATAAATAAATCAATCTTTGAAAAATAATAATTATAAAGGAGCAATAAAATTATGGTCTCTTAAAAACCCTAACATCTCAACTTCTCAAGTATAGTCTATGATACAATGCTGTGGGATCAGAAAATTAGACACCTAAGCCCTGTCTCAAAATGCATCACCAGGCTCTCCTAAGATGAAACCCAGTATCTGAGTTCTTAACAGCACTTTTGCTTTAGTTTTTTTTTAAGATGAGGTACTTAAATTCCATGTGAATGTTCACCAAAGGGGACCTCATCAGAGGAGGATTTTTTAAACTGAAGACTGAGTAATGTCCCTTACTATTTTTTTCACTGAAATTTACAAATACCCTTAAGAACTGAGTTGTAAGACATAAAATCTTGCTCTCTCAACCTTCCCACCACTTCTTTGTACAGCATGAGAATGCTTATTGTCAGCAAGCAACTCATTCTAACCAGCACTCCTTTTCAGTCTTTTTCAACCACTACCCAAAAGTTTTAGAGGAAAAGTATGTAAGTGTACGTGTTTAAAATTACCTTCTGTGCAAACTAGCTGAAGTGTACAAGAGCTCTCTGTTGTATCTCTACTTCCTATGAATTTATAAAACATTTAAAAAATAGCTATCTTTAAGAGTAATGAGTGTCAAAATTTTGAGAATACTAGAGCTTAATAGTTACTCTGTAGGGGAAAAGATAATCAACTAAGAAAAATAATCGGGTCTCCCTAGTGGCACAGGGGTTAAAACAAATCTATCAAGCAATCGCTAGCCACTGCAGCATGCGGTTCAATCACCAGCTGGCCAGGGAGGTGACCACACATGGCACAGTGGATCTCTTCTGTATCTCCTGCTGCTCCCCTCAGCAGTGCATTTCAGTGCATGTGCCTGTTCTGCTCCCCACTCTCTCAGATGAATCCTCTCACACCTCTGGCCTACACCCCAGTTCTTTTATGCATAAGTAAATGAATCTTAAAAAAAAATCGCCTACAAACATAGAAGTGAAACATAAATATGGAGTAAGTCAAAATTCACAGTGTGACTATTAAAGTGTAGGGATATTTTCTATTATTCAGGTTCACTTTCATGTCTTGATTTTACTGATGGTTCTTGCTCTGACTAAAGGAAGGCTCCACTTACCCACAGATAAAAAAAAATATTTACAAAATTATGGCATTTGCTCAATATTTGGAGCACTACCAATCAATCCTATACTTAAACAGGTGTCAAGACTGCTTGAGTAAAGCTTGTTAATAACCATTACCCCAATTCCCATTCCAAAAGACTACCTCAGAACTAAAAATGTTACCAACAATTACTCGGTATTTTAAACTCAGAAGACATGTTTATAATCCTTATCCCTTATTTCTGGGCATTTTTATCCCTTATTTCTGGGCATTTTGTTTTAATGCTAATATAGCATTCATTAGCATTAGCTTCACAGTGCAACCTCAATCAAATCACCTCACACCTAGGATTACACTGTCCCTTCCTTCCTGTTACATTTTTATAGTACACAACTGATTCTCCTCTTCCCTCCAATTCTGCTTGTAAAGTTCCAAAAGCAGGAGTAAATCCTTTTTAAAATACTACATATGAAAAATATAAAACAAGAACTAAAACACAACAAACTTTAGGCAAGCAACAGGTGTCCCAAAGAATTCAATGTTCAGGAAAAGGACTCAGGAGTTTAGTTGAGTCAGTTCCCAGTGTCCTGGCTGACTCAAACCTCTCTAATAAAAATATCCAACAAAAGACAAAAACGAGGACCTTCCCTCGTGTCCCAAGGGGTTAAAACACAGCACTATGTAGCTACCCACAACCACCACAGCCCGAGTTGATTCCCAGCCAGGGAGGTGACCCACATGGTGCAGCAGACTTCTGTCTCACACACTGCTCCCCTCAGCCCTGTACTTCCTCAATCTGCCTGCTCTGCTTGCTCCCCACTGTCTCTGGTGAATCCTCTCACTACCCCTGCATATCTGGCCTGTACCCCAGTTCTGTATGCATCTAAGTAAATAAACCTTTTTAAATAA